TGTTAATAATTTAGAAACTGCATCTTAGAAGTATTTAAGCACAATTTAGCTATTCTGAAATTGTAAAAGGACATTTGGAAAAACAAAATAGATTATAATATCGACAGTTTGGCTTTCTGTCACAATTTGATGTTGGTAAATGATATCCTTCATTTTATATTTTGAAAAGATATGTAAAATCTACCAACATTAATTAAATAAGACAAGAGAAGCTAACCGATGTTATGATCTCACCAATAGATTAAGAAGACAACACCAAGCCCCCAATGGAATTCACTCATAAAATCTCTAGCTGTATCGTTACATTCATTGACACTTCTAAATATATGAATGATGAAATAATATCTACAGGTCTGGATTTGAAGTTATCAGACAAACATGATTATCTTTCTACCCTGAGTTGTCATTCAAAACACTATCGTGTAAGAATGAAACCATCATTTAACTACATTCAAGGCCGTCAACTCCACAGAGAGTCAAAAAGTAAATAATCATGTCACTACCACAGCTCAGTTTAAGGTCCCCCTGAACATTTAACTGTGTACTTGTTAACAAAACTATACACCAATCCGTTAATAATGTTTCATCTCAGCATCTTGTTAGTGTTCTACTACAAATGTTTTATTATTCTTTCTGTGCTTTTAACGAGTTTCTTAACTACTATCACAGAATTTATCATTAAATTTGAAATAAAACATGATAGTAGTAAAATTGGCTATGTTTAGTGTGCTTAATTTTATTTTTTTGTTTGCCTTTTTAAAGAAAAAATACGTGATTTGGTTAACCTTTTGGTTCAGTTGACAGATTTGACTTTTCCTCTCTTTCAACTACACTTCCACACAATCTAATCACATACAAGTTTTCATATTTGATAAAATGGTGGTCTGGTAAATCTGATTGGTAATTTATTTTGCTGCAACTCATATAAAGCATTTTTCCCTAATGAAAAAGGTAAATATGATAGATGTACCTACTGGAGGTGTGTTGAGATGATTAAAGCTGTAAATTTTCTCCTGGATAACATTAACCAGATTAATATACGTTTTGGCAATAAATTTTATTGACAGGTTGTAGGTATTCCTATTGGCACAAATTCTAGAGTTGATTTAATTGATATTGTCAACAACACTTACCGTTATCTGGATGATATGTTTACGTTAAATGTTCTAGAATTCTCTAAATATACTGCCGAAATTTTACATAAAAGAACTTACTTAAAACAAATTAAATGTTATCAGCAATAACTGTCCTTTTATAGATTTCAATATTTCAGTTTTACACGAGAGACTCTACACCAAAAGTCTACGACAAATCGGAAGATTTTTTTATTCCTATTGTAATTTTTCTTTTTTTGGACGATGATTTTTCTTTGACACCGTCTTACGGTGTTCAAATATCACAAGTCGTTCTCTATGCCCGTATCCGTAATAACGTTTTGGATTTAAATGAGCGTAATCGATGTATTATTGGTAAACTTTTAAATAAGGGATTTCTTTACCTCAAATTGAAAAAAATTTTACTAAATTCTTCCACAGGTACAAAGATTTGGTTTGCAAGTTTTGATGTTCCTGTAGCAAAACTTATTTCAAACAGAATAGCACATCCTAATTGTTGTTGTTTTCCGAGCCCGGAAATTTAGATACGATCCGGGGAAAAAATCAATCCTTTAAATAAACTTATAAGGTTACCAATTCAACACTTTAAATAGATCTTTAAATATTGCTTTTTATCAGTTTGTTATCAGTAAATTAAAATCATACTAAATATTATTGATACACACATATTCACATTTGTGATATTACAATCTGTCGATACCTATATTTTGGCTTTGTACAAGGTCATTTGTTTCTCTGACTGTTAATGACATTTTTACATTTTATTCATTGGATGTTAAATGTGTACTGATTGATATTTTAATCTGCTTAGATACATGATGTTTTATTAGTTGCTTTTAGCTTTGTACAAGCTTTCAGTAACTAGGAGTACTCTTAGATATCTATTAAGTGTCGCTTTTGTTGATGAATGTACGCTGCCACATCCGGTATGTGTTTTCGTTAGATGTTTTCTGCTTTGTTCGATCTGATGAGTTAAGACCTTTTCAACTGAACTTTATAATTTGTTCTTATGTTTTACTACTTCACTGCTATCCCAGGTTAGGAGGGAGTTTTGCTCCAGCAAACTAGTTAAACCCCGCTACATGCTTTATGTTTCTGTCCAAAGTCGTGGGCCTGTAGTTCAGCGTTGATTCATTTCTGACATATTTGTTTTTCGTAAATTATTTTGTTATAAATTAGGCCGTTAGTTTTCTCAATTGAATCGTTTAATAATTTTAAGTCTGGGCTGTTTATTTCCGACTACACGGTATGGGTTTTTCTCATTGTTGAAGGCGGTACTGTTGCCTATAAAAGCTTAAATCAACTTCATTTGATTTTCGGAGGATAGATGTCGGAATGGAAATCATACCACAGCCTGCCGTGTTGAATTATCATATCTAATTTGCTTATTAGCGAAAATTAGAATGATATGAAAAAAAACTTAAGCTATCCAAAATCTGGGATGGTTAATATTTTTGACAAAATAGATAATTTCAGCTTCCCATTTGTAAACTTTCCATCATATGTATTCATATCCATATAGCAACAGCATATACAGTAAACGTTTACCAGTTTATATACCAGCTTGCATTCTAAATCATGATGTTCTTTTGCTGTGCATTGCATTTCAGTACAATCGGGATACATGCGCACGGATACGACTTTACAGAGTAGGATAAGACGTAGGTTTCATATATGGACGGCGTAAATATGGGGGTATACCGATTATAAGCCGAACCAATGTTAATGACAATAACATCAAAAACCAATGTGTGGTGGCTTTCGGGACTCAGTTAGCTGACATGTATTCATAAAAAGCTGGTGTTGCGGTACTTAACTTTGATCGTAGAAATTCAAAGTAATAAATCAAATAACCAAATAACATCTGAATATTCCACTTCTATAACATAAAAAAACCGAATTCATATCATAAAAGATTAAAGTAAAGTTTCTCAATGTCCACCGCCGATGAATGTATTTTATTTAAAAAAAAACCAATACAAATGATATTTTTAATTATTGTAAGTTTACTACTTAAAGGATGTTGAAATATTCGAAAAAAGAAGGTTTTTTTTACCCCGGGATAGAGTGCAATAACTCCTGTAACATAGTTGATACGTGCTGACTTGTGAACTTGCATAATACATGGTGATATAAATCTTTGCTATAAATCTCATTAAAAGTCTATAAGACATGTATAGGTGTTAGAGCGGTTACAAAGCAGTTTTCCATAAATAATTTATTTCGAAGGGCATCTCGTATACATAAATAATGGATCGTCAGTGATTTTCAAACTCGTCTTAGACATTGCAAATATAAAACTTTGACATACATTTAAAAAGCATTTAAACAAAGTACTCTTACAATACATTTTCCCATTCATATCTTTTTCGAAGGGACATGATTTCCTTAAAAATAGTTGATTGGCACTCATTTCCGATCTTGTCCGCGACATTTCTAAAATAAACTTTGAAATAACTTTTATTAAATCTGTCAGGAATTGAGCCCATACAAGATCAGACTGATAAACGGACAGACCAAGGGTAATTCTATGTCCCCCGCAGCTAATCAAATAAAATGCCAACATACCTCAATTCACATCCGAATTAATTTAGGTATGTCGGACCTATCTCAAACTCTCCCTGTAATAATCCAATGAAGTTTTCTTTTTTCAGATCTTTAATAGTACACCAAAATTTATCACCATTTTGATCATTCCCTGTATACAAATTTATCAGTATAAACTCTCACCAAATTTGTAGATGGCTTTAATCTTTTTTTCTAATTGACTTTTTCCCCGCCCCTATAGCATACATATTCAAGTTTGTCATGCCAAAATGATTTAAATGATAAACAGGGTTAGTCCCCAGGGGTCATCCCGACCCCCTGTACTGTCATTTGAGGATATTCTAATATCTTGTCAGGATTCCAACCCCTAAACCATATAAATGCTGGTTGTTCATGACAAGATATAGATGGTAAGACCCAAAGAGTCATCCCCACCCCCTGTCATTTGAATATGTTCAAACATCTTGTTAATTGTCGAGATCATAAACCATATATATTCCTGTTTGTCATATCATGAAGAGTTGAATGATAAATAGGAGAGTGTCATGGGGTCCGCCCTTCTCCAATGTTATAATATATTGTGAATGGTCGAGATCCCCATCCCTTAACCATATATTTTGTACTTGACTTTGCCCAATGTCAGCCTACCATTGGAATGACTAGTTATTGAAGCTTCGTTTGGGAAACTTCGTAAAAGCATCCTGTTACAATCATTTCTTGTTTTTATTTGTTGTCATCCCGAACATGAATAACATATTAGCCACTGGAAGTAAATCCAATTTCCAGCAATTATATACACCACGGAAATCAAAATATATGTATATGAAACGCAAGCCCTGAAATATTTCAATGTGATGGATGCCATTAACATAGAGACAGCATTTAAAATTAATCGGGTTACTTGATACATTGATTGATGCATGTTTAACGTCTAATGGCTAATACATTATGCATATGCAGGATGAGAACACATTTATCAATTATCACAATAGGTAGGTTATTAATTGTAGCTCGACCAAGCAACTTTTCATCATTCTTGTGAGCCTCCTTGAAATATCATTTTATTTGAGACCCACAGTGCCGCCTAGATAAATAGTTTTACATTAAAACTTAAGATTGCTGTTTTTTTTATTGTTGATGAAATAGAAGTTGGTGATTTTAAAAGGAGTTTCGTGCATTTTGAAAACCCAACTATATTTAATGAACGGTATATAATTCATGTATCCAGCTGAGTGAAAGAAGATCCAGTTCGTCAACTTTTATGAACAAACATCAGATATATCTTGGTTTCTGAATTAAGTTGTAATTCGAATAGTTATTAATTAACAAACCATTATATAAAACGTTTATTTAATGATTTACTCAATGCGCCAGCCTGTAAACGAAGTTCTCGCTTCAGTTCTACTATAAATACTGCCAGCCGTAGTGGCACCTGATCCGCTTGTTCTGACATAACAAACATCCCCAGCATTCATGTTCACAACAACGGTTGATGAAACGCTTTGTCTGTAGCTGCCGTATGCCCTTGTTAAAAGTGATCCAATCACATCGGCGTTTTTGACGATTTCGACTGGAATGGAGGCCCCACTGTCTGCCGTTATGGTGTATGAAAGCACGTACATCCCGCTTGACGGCGCAGTGAAGATACCAGAGTATTGGTTGTACGCGTTGCCTATATTTGTAATCACGCTGTTGAATATAAGTGTATGATGCGGTCCCGGGCTAGCTTCATCTGTTGACATATAAACATAAAACGCCGGAGAAGTCACTCTTGACTGTCGAGAATGAATGATACGTCCTGTTAATCAATATTAACTTACTTATACATGTTATACCTTTAAAGCTTTTTATTGCACCTTGGGTAAATTAGTGACGATGTGATTGGTCCATAGGGGGCAGTAGATTTCATAATGGTGTCATGACGTTAGATCTACCATTATTGTTATTGTATTTTATTAGGTTTTTTTTTTTTGCAAAATTGGTTGGAAAAATCCGGTGTGCGATAAATTCGTTATATGGTTCGCCTTTTTTACACTCTAAGAATTCCTAGAGGGTTATCGAAATCGATCTGATCCGTAGGTAGTCAATAGAAAACCATATAGTTTAAAGTACATATCGTCTTTGAACACCGAGGTACTTCTGCACTTTTCATACAAATATTCTGTTTGCACTTTTCATACAAATATTCTTCTTAGTTTACAACTTTTTTGCATATGTTTTATATCATATTCTGCAATCAGTTAACTATTGTACAAACACCAGGTACACAAATAATCGTTTGCTTTATTTGTACTTATTTGTACAAAAAAGGCCTCCTGTTACTCCTCGTCCATGTTGAACAAACGGTAGTGTGAATATTTTTTGGGGGGTGAGAGCTCATTTTTGAGTTCTTTTCGCGGTCCATAATCAAACTATGTTAATGTTCTTTAAAATATCAGAGACAACTCTTTGGAGTTAAGCAACTAAACCTTATCGTGCGGGTGTAAGTTGCAGGATTGCAAAATATGTACATTGTTAGACATATTAAAGGTAAATGTACTCGCTACGAAACAGTCTAAAAGCTCAGCGAGCCTCGTCCTTTTTCTAAAGCTCGTACAAATAAATTATATATTTTTCAATAATGTACAACTTTTTATACATTGGATAGAGAGTTGATTCATTGGCACTCATACCACATCTTCTTATTTATAATGAATCGTATATATATATATATATAGACAACTTATCTAAACATCAGCCCAACAATGTTAGATCTGTAAATTTGCTTTCGCAAATTTTTTGTTCTTCCCTCGCCGGGATATATATATATATATATACAAGTCTAAATTGAAAACAACGTTCAAACCTATGATTGCGTTGGATAAAAACCGCAATTTTTATACGTGTGCATGTAACAAATTTCGAGGGGTCTAAATACAGCACAAACAACATTTTCCAAAAGACTAAAAGAGTGAAAAAATATATTTTAACAAAACGCATTTGACTAACAGGTCGAACAACTGATGTTCTTAAACCCTGATGACTGCCATTGACGATTGCCAAATAAATTGATCACAAGGTGTTACAAAATGGATCTATATATTAATTTAATACCAAGTAGAAAACAATAAACATGCGGCAAAAATGGTTAACCACAACATGAGGTGCTAAATTTTTTACACCATATCCGGATTTCGACAATTTATGTCTCTTCAGTGATGTTAGGGATCGAAACAGTATTTGGAAGGCCATTTGATATACCTCAATTTAGGATAACCTCTTGAATTTTAAAGAATCAAAATAGGATGAACGGATTATATAAACCGGAGGGAAAATATAATACAAGCCCAAACGAAAAAAAATACAAACAAGTCTATATTGAAAACAACGTTCAAACCTATGATTGCGTTGGATAAAAACCGCAATTTTATATAATTCGTCTAAATAACAGCCCAACAATGTTAGATCTGTAAATTTGCGGAAGCAAATATTTTTGTTTTTCCCTGGCCGGGATTCGAACTCATGCTACTGAGATATCGTGGCACCAAATCGCCTTGCACTGTGCCCGACGCGCTAGACCACTCGACCACCTATATATATATGTATATATATATATAAAAATATTCATTTTATGTCTTTATGGTCATATACATGTACCTCATAACGTTGCTACATATTTATACATTCCTTACTTTCAAATGTTTAGGTTTGAGTATACCGGATGAAAGTATATCAATAAACGCACTTTGAACACATGAAATGTGTGGAGTGTTGCTACATTTGTAGGGATTAGATCAAAATCCCACAAAAAGCAATGAGTCTTGGGTAAAAATTTGCGCGTTTGGCGTAACAAACTATAAGACTGGTATCTTCAATATCCTTTTACTACCATTGGGTTGATGCCACTGCTGGTAGAAGTTTTACCCCTGACTGGATAGCATCTATCCAGGCAACCGCATTTTTTTGTGTACATTGAGATGGGCATTTTTGGTAAATTTTCTGTTGATATAGTTTTGAATCATTCGAAACACGAAACACGTTTTCCTGCCCAAGTCATAGATGTGCATAGCTGTATTTGACACAACTTTTTGAATACTTATCGTGAATTCTTTATAAAAAAATGTTTAGAAAGAGTGTACTGTACAATATTAATAAGTGCAATGCTTTAATGATGCTAACATAATTGTAAAAAGTAAATTTTCATACTCACTCTTTTTATGTCTACCATCGCTATTGTCAATTTTCGACTGCGTGTCAGGTCCATTTTAGGTTTCGTCTGATTTTCGGGAAAGTCAAGCTTATCAATCAGACTGTCCAGGGCTGCAATCTGTTCCTTCTGACTGTGAACGATACTGTGCAAGGCATCTCTTGATTTTGATATTTTGAAATTCTGGTTCTTTAACAAAGCTACTCTCTTTTCTAACTCAAAAAACTGTACTGTCAGTTGATCTTCAATGTTTTTAAACCTAAGAGTTTCATCAGCAGAGGTTAAACAATTGACCTGGAAAATATTAAAGAGAAATATAATAATAAAGCAAGACATATTTGTCGATTATGGATAATGTGCAAATGGTCAAACATAGTAGATAAGAGAAAGTTGGTCATTAAGTACATAGGTATGCTTTCTCGATCGGAAGGATCGGAAAGAAAAACGTACATACCATTTTTTATTGAGGGAATTGATAAGATTTATTTTTACAAAAATGAAAGTAAACATATAGACCCAAAGAGACCGAAAGAGAAATATAAAAAAGGGAATATAAAAAGTGGTAAATCTATTCTGACATCGGACTCAGACTTCTTTTAAACTGAGTTTTACTGTGTGTATTGTTGTGTGTTTGTTTATTCTACATTGGCTAGAAGTATACACGGAGGATAGAGAGCTCACAAAACATGTTTAACCGCGCCGCAGTTTTGCGCCTGTCTCAAATCAGGAGCCTCTTGCTTTGTTAGTCTTGTATGTTTTTTTTTTTAATTTTAGTTCATTAATAGGTTTTTGAGTTTGTTGTGACGTCCATTTTTAGTGAAGTAGTACACGTTTTGTTTAGAGGCCAGCTGGGTTTGCTTCCGGGTGCAGGATTTTCTCGCTGTGTTGAAGACCCATTGGTGGTCCTCAGCTTTTTTCTGATCTTTGGTCGGGTTGTTATCTCTCTTACACATACCCCTTTTCCATTCTCAACTTTAATCAAGTGATTGTTATTCCATTCAGACCTTTTTTTTTAAACTAACTTTAATATTTATTAACCTTATCTTTGAATGAAAAGTAAAATGTAAATGACTATAAGCATAATGTAGGCTTATATCTTACAAATGTAGGAAGAAAACTTTTCCAACTTTTCTTGTAAATTCTTGCTTTGTTTTATTTTAAATATACTTCATTCGTGTGAAATATATATCTCTACTTGTACTATATGTGTTCGCATGTATACAGTATATTTGTATGTCGTATGTTGATTTATCTATTTTTCTTCTGTGTATCATTGTCTTTCTAAAACATGTGTTAGCTTCTATGTAGCTATAGAAGGTCTCGTATCGGGTTAATTGTCAGTTTACCTGTTTACATATTTTTCAAAAAGTGGACGGATCGTAAGAACCAGAGAAAAAAGATTGTTTGACCATGTTGACCCTGTAATAATATTTGACGTAATACTTTGAGAGAAATTATTTGGGCTCCGCCCTATAGTGATCTGTCTGTCTGTCCGTCCGTCTGTCCGTCCGTCCGTAACAAATTGTGTCCACTCTATATCTAGAGAACCGTTATGATTTCAAAGTTTATACTTGACATGTATATCAACCAACACCAGAGGGTGTGTCATAATGTATGTTCAACATCCTAGGTCAAAGGTCAAGGTCAAAAACATAGGTTTCAGTTGACAACCCCATGTCCTATGGTAAAGATTGTGTCCGCTCTATATCTTGAGAACTGTTATGATTTCAAAGTTTATACTTGACATCTATATAAACCAACACCAAAGGGTGTGTCATAATTCATGTACGACTTCTTAAGTCAAAGGTCAAGGTCCAAAATTTTGGTTTCAGTTGACAAACCCATGTCCTATGTTAAAGATACAAATTTTGGAATGCACATTATTCACAGCGGGGCCCACAGAGATGGCTCCCATCTCAATGATATATAGTTATATCCGTGACCCTCCAAATTTCTACAAGTATTGTCAATTGGACGAAAAAACTGTCGATGGTATGTATGAACTTCCAATAATTTATTATTATAGTTTGACATAGTATTTTTATTTAACGTAAATTTGAAATTACACTTATCGCTGTTTGCATAATTCATAATGAAATATACCTATCACGTTTTTCCTATCTATCTAATTACATGACCTTAACTCATAATAGATACCAGAATTGAAATTTTATATTTTCGCCAGACGTGCGTTTCGTCTACAAAAGACTCATCAGTGACGATCAAATCAAAAAATGTTAAAGGCCAAATAAATTTCAAAGTTGAGGAGCATTTAGGAAATATAATTTCTTCCAAACCAAATCTTATAAAATAAAATGTTCAGTTTTTTCATTGCATTTTTTTGGAAACTGGTGATTAATCAAAAGTAAAAAATCGGTTGACAAATTAAAAACAATAATGAGCATGACGGAAATACATGCATAGCAGGAGGCGTGTATCTTATTGCCGCACACAATCTCTTTCGGTTTGTATCTTCGTAATGGATGTATGAGATGTGAACATATCAGTACAACACAATATCAATATATAAAAGGGCCATGCTTAATCGTTTACAATTTTTACAGTTTTAATTGACATGATTGTTTACATCTCATATAAAAAATCCCTAGTGAAATGGACAACCTTCCGATATACATTAAATGTATGATACAGAGGTTCAACTTTTATATAACATTTTTTGTGAAAAAAATCGTATATTTTAAAACTGTTAAGGATGATACAATTTCTTCACGTGACACTGGCTGCATGCCACCACATTTTCTAATCGTATTTAATGGAAATTGACTGCATGCTCATGAAATTGACAGTTTTGGTGTATGGTGTTTACATATCTCAGTTGATACTATGCTCGTGCATGTTCACACTATACGGACTTCATATACAAGAGTGTACTACTTACGCAGACACTGATCCAACAAAGTTATGAGGAGGGAAGATTAAAAATGACACTCCCTAAATTTTACGGACACCATCAACATGATCAAGAATTAGTTGATTCATACGATGTGTTTGTCTAACTAAGGACATTTTTACCACGTCTTAGATTATGGTTTACCATTTACGTCGTCTTGTCTTTTAAGTACAGAACATGACCTATTCCCGAATATGACTGTTTTGCTGAGTGTGAATTCGCATTGCTATATGACGTGTCACGTTATTTGTTTATACAACATTCATGTATTTAGTTATGATGTTGTATTTGTAATTCTGATCGGATATTGTTAAATGTCTTATCGTTTGTAGTTGTAATTGTATTTTTTTTAATTTTCTATTCGTATGTAAAAGTAAAGATAATTAATCACCCAGTTCATTTATAAGATTCTAGTTTAAAGCAACTAAACGTACACGATTTATTTGTTTTACAGTTTGATTTAGGAGAAATACCGACATAGCTAGATAATACAATTAATTATCTAATTACTAATACAATTCTATATTAATAGTCTTGTAATTGTTATAAAATACATTTAATACCGTTATTACAAACCTGATCTTGAACTATAATAAATTCTTAGAAATTTACCTGTGGCGTCGATCCAGTCGTGTGATAGACAATGTGTGGTTCTGTTGTGCTGTTTTATGTGCTGTCCTAGGTTGTTTTACGTGTTCCTTTTTATTCTGTGGTTAGTCAGCACTTCGGTGTTGACATGAATATCTGTTATATGGTCATTTTTATAAATTTACTGTTTGCAAAAGTATGATTTATTCTAAATACAAAGGACTTTCTTATCCCAGGCATAGATAACCTTAGCCGTATTTGGCACAACTTTTGGAAATTTGGATCATCAATGCTCTTCAACTCTGTACTTGTTTGGCTTTCTTACTATTTTGATCTATGCGTCACTGATGAGTCTTATGTAAACGAAACGCGCGTCTTGCGTATTAAATTATAAGCCTGGTACCTTTGATAGCTATTAGCATGGCGAAATGTACTATTGTGTTGTTTATTTGTGTATTTCTCTGTCCTGAATGCTTATTTGTACTGTAGTCCTGTCATGTAATGTTGTCATTTTAGTGATACATTTAACATTGCATAAAAGCGCGAGGTTATGCTAGCCACAAAACCAGGTTCAACTCATCATTTTTTCTTAAAATGTCCTGTACCAAGTCAGGAAAATGGCAATTGCTATCTTATAGTTCGTTTCTGTGTGTGTTGCATTGTCGTTTGTTTTTTGTTGCACTTCAGTGTTTCTGTTGTTTCGTTGTTTTCCTCTTATAGTTGATGTGTTTTCCTCGGTTTTAGTTTGTAACCCGGGTTTGTTTTCTCTCAATCGATTTATGACTTTCGATCAATTGTATACTACTGTTGCATTTATTTACAACATGTTAAGGCAGATTAACTTTATCCGCCATCTTGGATTGTAAAAACAGCAGTACACAATTGGTGTAGTTTGTTTTACTTAAATATGCCAGTTTTGAGATAGGTTGGAAATAAGTGTGTGAGAATTTTTACAAAAAAAGAGAAAATTTGTTGTATTATTTAGACCGTTTGAAAAATAACAAATATTTGTTTTTGATCAATTTTGAAGGAATTCTTATGATCTTTATAAGGAGAGATAACTCACAAGGTAAATATAGTATAAAAGAATATTAGTAAATTTTCATTTTGTAGTTGTCGACAGACAACATATATTGTATATATTTTTGTTTGCCATAGCATGTATATGCTTCTTGCTAATAGAGTATTCATTTATTCATTCATTATTCATTCATTCAAAACAAGTACGGTGACACCTTTCGTTCTTTTTTTTTTCTTAACATGCTTAACGCATGTAATAAAACCTATCTTCTCATAATCTATTTCAAAATTCTATTTAATAGATTTCTATTTGTTCACAAAAAATGTTTTGTTGGTGAAGAACATATTCAAACTGGGTAATTTTGCACGATTTATTGCTAGAAAAATAGCAAGGTAACTCTTACTTTTTATTATATTTTTGAAAAAAGCATGGTGAAATTCTACATTTGGCAACGTTTATTAAATTATATCAGAGGAAATATATAGTGATGATCCATGCACCTTAAAAAGTTTATAGTACGGCACGTCCTTGCTAAGATATTACACTCAAGTCAACGGTCTTATCATTGAAATAGTAATCTGATTATAAGACATATATGGTTTGTAAAACATGGCTCTTATTTTCAACTGTTATATATTTTATATTTTTCAGGCAACGCTTACATGTTGTTCAGCAATGGATATGCTGGAAAAGCTAGATGTTTTTGAACAAAAGTTAACACAACGGATGGCAGAACTTAAAAACGGTGTTGCAGTTCTAAAATATGAAAACAATGAGGAACAGTTCAAATGGAAAGATCTAGAAACTACATTGTCTGACCAAGAAAGAAGGATTGGCGAGATTTACAACATTTTAGGAAAAGAACATCATGTCGATGAAGTTAACCCTTTAAATCTATTCACGAATAGCTCTTTTCCAGACTACACCAGCTTAAATGAAAGTAGTATCAAATCTGAACGTGAATTTAATCTTAATTATGGTTAAGATCTGATTACTGTGGTCAAAGGGGAGGAAAGTATTTGTAATGTTTAAATGTACCAAGTTGTTATTACCAACGAAAAATTACTGAAATACCGTCAAGAAGGCGAGCCTAATGTGTGCTCTTTTGGCGGCGTTGTCAATAGTTTGTTAAAATTGATGTTAAGTCATGCATTTTAAGGAGGTGGAAGAATTGAGTGAATGTTAAGCATTGGTACATGCCATTGAGATTATTTGGTCCTGATCGATAGTCCCTTTGTCCTTATCTATTGACTTACATGTAAAGTTTGTGAGAAGTTCCGTTCAAAACAAATGAGAGATACTAAAAGGGATAGTTAAACTCGTAATAGAATAGAGACTGGAAAGTCGAATACAAACTGACAACGCAATCACAAAAAAAGATAAACAACAAAAGTATACAAAACACTACATAGAAAAATAAAGACTAAGCAACACGAACCCTTCCAATAACAGGGGTGCTCCGCAGGCTAAATCCGTCGTGTTTCTCATGTAAAAATGATATTATAAGCATTTGTACATCTCATTTCCATGGAAAATATGTTACCACCTCCCCTCATGGTAAGAATTTACTAGAATTGAAACGTTTGCATTTGTTAAATGTCAAAAGCTTTTGATAAGGTCGTTTTGGGAACCACTTATAGTAAGTCAATGATATGTTGTATGCAGTTTAATAGTCATTAGTATATCTCATATATGGTTAATTCAAATTGCAACATTTACAGTGTTCATATTTCAAACATTTTAATGAGGTCAGTTCATAGAGAACCACTTTTGCTACGTCAATGATATTGGTATGCATTTGTATAAATATTTGCATTTTTCATTTTCATTAGTTTTTTGTCCTTTCACCTTCAGTAATTTTTTCTTATTTTGAAAGTTATGCATTGTTAATATATTATAGTGTTGTCATTCGATTTTCAGATTTAGCATTATGCTATCAAAATAAAATACAGGCGAGACATATATTTGTCAACAGTTTATCATACATTAAATATTTTTGCAACTGCTTCGTTGTCCATTGATAGAATATTCTGAACAACAAAAGTAAAACGAGATGCATGTAATAAATTGACGAAAAGGGTTAAGGGTAATGGTATCACAATTCTAAAAAAAACACGAATGCTAGATTTAAGTAAAACATCATAGCTTTGTAATATCTGCGATAGTTTGATATGCACTAGGAAGTATGCTATTAACAAACGGATTCAAATGCAAAATGATTTCGCTTCAAATGAATCAAAGCGCGGCATCCGTTTGGTTGAGTGGGATGTATAGATCAAAAAAGGATTCATAAATAGAATCAAAGTTTACCTTTTGCATTAAACATTTTAAATATTCAGCTTGTCATAGTCTAGAGGGAATTTGATCCAAGTTAAATCGTATGCTGTGAAAAAGTAAAATAACAAAAATACCGAACTCCAAGGAAAATTAAAAGTCCCTTAAAAAATGGCAGAATCAAACGCACAAACACATCAAACGAATGGAAAAACAACTTTCATATTCCTGACGTGGTACAGGCATTTCTTTATGTAGAAAATTATAGATTACACCTGGTTTTATAGCTAGCTAAAATTTTCACTTGTATCATAGTCGCATAGACTCTTCCATTACATTGACAACAATGTGTGTTCAAGACCAACAGACATAATAGATAAAAATATCAAAAATTAGGGTACAGCAGTCAACATTGTATAATATTAATCACTAAAGGAACAAATACATATTTCAACAAAGAAAAACAAAATGGCATATACTAGTAGACACTCAATACTCATTTATGATTTTGTATGGTCAAAATGCTCTGTTTATGTTAGCTGCTGTACCCCTATTTTTGACATTTTTACCTTTTATGTCCGTTTGATTTGTACACGCATCGTTGTCAATATAAAGGTGATTGTATACGACTGTCATACAAGTGAGAGGTTTATCTAGCTATGAAATCATGCTTAATCAACCATTTTCTAGATAAGAAAATGCCTTTACCAAATCAGGAATATGACAGTTGTTGTCCATTCGTTTGGGATGTTTGAGCTTTTGATTTTGCCATTTGAAAAGTGACTTTCCGTTTTGAATTTTCCTCGGAGTTCGGTATTTTTGTTACTTTATTCTTTAACAATAACAAATATAAAGCCTACTTTAAATAACAAGTGTAATGGTGTGTATACACATGTATTGAAAATGAATGTCGCTCCATTAAAGAAGCAATAAAAATAATAATATATTCTTACAGTACATTCTTTGATATTTACAGGCAGCACTGCACGCATTTAATTACTTGTTTAATGACCTTGAATTTCAAGGAGCCAGTACAACAGCGCCAGCGTTTTATGCATACATGTCATCTAACGAGCTGAGTCCTGGGAAACATCACACATTACATTTTGATACCATCATTACTAACATTGGATCGGCTTATAACCGTTACACCGGAATTTTCACACCAACAGTATCTGGAACATACGCGTTATCTTATTCTATAGAGCCTTATGCTAAAGCCTATATTCCTATTGAACTAGTGAGGAACACACAAATTATTGGTTCAGCAGTTACTCGTGCACAAAGCACCTATGAACACGGGGCTTCTTCGACGGTAGTGATTCAGTTATCTGCAGGTGACGCATGCTTTCTCAGAACAAGCAACACTTACACACCATCTGGACATATCTACAGTAGTGCATATGCCAGATCATCGTTTTCAGGATGGCGTCTCATTTAAATATCAATAAATATGACATATATTATATGTTTAATAGTTATTAATTTCAACTCGTAATACGATGCAATGTTCGTTGGCAATATTGATGTGTTTCCTTGATATAACATTGATTATAACGTTAATTTTCTGTAATTTCAATACTGTTGTTTAATGATAAATTATTATAAAAAACGAAATTTGTCTACTTTACAAAGTCAACCCTGTTCTGACAAAACATGTCAAAGGTATGGTCATTTTCTTTAATTACAACTACTATTTAAGACCCGTTTTATTATTCTACAAAAGAGCACACACGCTGAAATGTCTCACCTACGTTTCTACCATTGATTTTATGTTCATAGCCCTGAATATAAAGTTTTACTACAAGTATTACATTAACTTATCATAATGCAAGAAAATGAGGTTGAGGTCAGATAAACCATGCCAGAAATGCATGTACACCTTATAATCATTCCATACATTGAATATAGTTGACCTTTTGCTTATACTATACCAGAAACAGACCAAACTGTGAAATCTTTTTATTGACCAATGAACCAAGAATGACAGGTCATGGTCAAATGAACCCTGCCAGGCAGACATGTACACTTTACAATCATTCCATGGATCAAATATAAAAAAAGAAACAAACTTGACCACGAAAACGTATCATTGACCAATGAATCATGAAAATGAGGTCAAGGTCA